TCATCACCTATTTTGTAGGTTGTTGCACGTGGATCAGATAGAAAAGCCCACACCAGTTTAATAGTGGAGGTTGATACATCCAATAGGAAATTTTCCTGTTCGCGTTACGTGTTCCTGTATGATGCAATGGTATATATTTACTATGGTATTTTCTCAAAGTCGTATTGTTAACCCGTCTAAGGATAGATTAAAGACATTTTAAAAGTGCGCGAAAGTATGTTTTACGATTATTTGACATTTGAATGATTAAAACAAGTAAGAAAATAGGGAGTAATTAGATAAAATAGTTTCGGTAGCGCGAAATTTAAACACACCGCCAAATCAACTTTATATGTGACATTTTTGTTAGTCACTTCCTTTTTCTTATTTTAATGGATCACTTGACAGTTGGATATAATAAGATTATTAAATTCCATGAGAAAAAACGAGAATAAATCCAGTTATAACATTGACTATTTAATCACCGTATCATTTATTCCATTGTTCTCAAATCAAAATTATTCTCTGCTCATTAAAACAACTATCCGTTGTTAAATAAATAAAGATTATTATTTGTGTATCTTAATCATCCATCTGATCATCATTCAAGGCGGATTATTTAATCAATTCAAAAAGTATGCTTCTTTTTTCTTAGCTATTTGCAAGACATATAGAGAAGTCACTCTCTCTCTCACACACACACACACATACACAGACACTTGTCCAGTTATCGAATAGGCTGTGCCATTGGTAAAGCAAGTGAAGGAAATCAGAGACTCAGTTAAAAAAAAAGAAAATCGAGTAAGGGTTTAAATAGAATGAAATCTTCACTTTTGTTCAATGTAAATCAAAGAGTAAGAAATAGAGTTGAATTTCTTCACTATGCTCGTCTTAGTTACATCTTTATTGTTAAGCTTTATTTGTAAATGTTTAACAATGGTTAGTATCTGTGTAATCGATACATATATGTCTTCCATTTACCGTTATGACGTTGAAAGACTGTCAAAGTATAAACACTGACAACTGATTATTATAATCCAATAGTGAAGTATCAGTTTATAAAATATTCAATTGTTGTATGTTTTGATTTTTAATAAATATCTTTTATTCAATTAGAAATGCTTTTCATTCATCTTGGATTAACGTTGAAGTGATTGTATTCAAGATGAGGTCATATTGAATAGCTGTTTCATTTGGCAACAGTTTCGATTATCAACTATACGTTATATTCAATATAGGACATTCTAACACTATACGATAAACAGATTGCCATTTATTAATTGTCCCTTAGGTTTCTATTGGAACATTGAGCTTCATATTACCATTTAGTTAATTATTTATTCAATTTTATTGACAGGGAATTATGCTGAATTGGTCAACTCTACAATTTAAGCTTATTTATAAGATAACTGAAAAGTCTATAAAGAAATCAGTCAAGAATAAGTAGTAGAATATGATCAGAGATAGTGATTTTGAAGAGATGACAACTATACGATCTGATCTTTAGCCCAATAACTGAATGGTTAACACATTCGTAGTGAAATCTTAAAGTTCTTTATTCGATTCCCGACAAGCTTGTGGGTATGTACTACTGAGGAGTAATATACTAAGACAATAGTTCTCCAAATGATATCAGTCCATAGTTAATGTTACTTTGAAAAGTTCCTTAATTTATTCAGAAAAATTGTTAAAATTGTGTGTTGATAACATTTCAACATACCAGTTACCAATACCTGGTTCCAATGAAAGTATTTTGTTAAAGTGCTTAAAATTAATTAAATAGATTGATTGAGTGTTACTTTAATGACAAATTTTCCTTTATTATACTTCATGAATTCCAAAATACCATTTTTGTAAACATATATTCAATCATTTCAATTCCAATAAGAATATATTTCATTTATCCATCACATTGTTTATTTTCATATTCATCCTTGTAGTTCACCTCTTTCTTTTTTTGAGTAGTAGCTGCCCGAATAGTTCAGTGATAACAACGTTGAGTGCTACACTGAGCAATGTGGGTTTGAATCTTGCAGGGTACATCACTTTCTTTAAGGTTGCCAATTGCTGATGAGTGCCAACAAGCACGAGACCTGCCGATTGATTTCAACCAACTAATATCTTTCCAAGTAAAGATAAATATATTAATGGTAGATAGTGGGTGGTAGTGGAAAGCAGGACGCGTGTTTCGTTCTATTTAGGACTCGTCAATTGGGTGAACCTACCTCCCAGTGAGTGATGTTGTTCCCAGTGGGACTCGAACTCGGGACCGATCTCTTCAAACGTCAGATCGTTACCCACTGGACCACAAAGTCACAATAGCCACTTTTTGTGCAAAGAGTATAGTCTTAATGTTGTTGCTTGCATTATCCCAACATTGATTAGTCCTAATTGACCTGTCTGTATTAGTGTATGGGCTCCTGCATGCATGCCTCGATATTGCCTGTGTTTTAATTATATATTAATAATGGATAGAGACCGATCAACGTAGTCCAATCTACGACAGGATAATACAAACAACAGTATTAAAGATAAATCTGTATATATTGAAACACAAGTATATTCTACTTAGCCAGTCATCCTGTTAAAGCTTCTTGTATAAGAGTTGATTTTTGTAACTCATTCGTATAACTCATAAATGGTTAAGTATCAAAAATCAGTGTGCCAACTGAGCTACGAGACCACACTGAGGACTGAACCTTAATTTCATTTCAGTCACCAAGGATTTTGCCTCACCACCATGTGAATTTGTAATGTATTATTATCCGTTCGTCGTATTCAACTTGGCTGACTAGTCAAGACTTCTCATCTCAATCCAAATCATCCTGAATTAGAGAGTGGCCAGCATCATATTGATTATCAGTCTGACTATCTCAGATAGTCGTGGTTTGGCAGACTCGTATGGATTCTACTACAACGCAGATTTTCACCATTTCACCTTCAATCATCACTCAGTACCAAAACAATGACTATCTCAGATAGTTAAACTGATGTCAAGAAATAACTGGTTAACTGTTTTTATAATGCACAAAGAATGAGAATGGAAGAATTATCTTTAACTATTATAAAACAATGAAACTGGTGGGTAAAAAGTTAGGAAATAATATTGAGACAGGTAGTTGATTTGAGAATAAAATGTCATAAGATTTTTCGAAGGATCTTTCCATTTTGAAAGCTAGTTTAAGAGTAGTTACAAAGAAATGTCAATTATAGACTGTTCTAATGAAGCATCTGTTATATAGCTCAGTTTTTTTTGGATTGACAATCTTGTGTTTGTTATTACTATTCGTTGATATGCTTGTAACTGTTTGTTGTTTTATTGGGATATAGGCTGCTATGGGGTTGCCTCGATATTCCCTTGGTTGTGGCTAGCAGTACGCCTGTCCTGTAGCATTAGGGACTCGTCAGCTGGATCCACCTGCACTCCAGTGAGTGGCATCCAACTGACAAGTCCCAAATAGGAAGAAATGCGCATCCTGGACTCCACTGATAGCTACGATCCATCAATAATATAATTAAAACACAGGCAATATCGAGGCATCCGCACAGAAACCCAAATGACAATACAGACCGATCAATTCGGTCCAAGCAACGATGGTATGATATGGAAACAATTATACTAAAACTATACCCATCGCAAAAGAAGTGGCTATCGTGGCCCAGTGATGTAGTGGATAACGCCCTGGCTATTGAAGCGATCGCTCCCGAGTCCGAATCCCGGTGGGAACAACATCACTCACTGGGAAGCAGGTACATTCAGTTAACGACTTCCAAATAGGACGAAATGCGCATCCTGGATTCCAATGCTGGTCACGATCCATCATTAGTGAGTGGCATTGTTTCCACTGGGACTCGAAGTTCGTGCCCATTGCTTCAAACCCCAAAGCGTTATCTTGTGTTTGCATAATACTTTCCTTAGATAGCCACTTCAAAATACTCTTTTCACCTATTTCATAATATATTTACCTAATTAGAAATTTAATTTACACTTTAATAAATCCTTTGAAAAGGTAACAAAGTAGCTGATTTCGAAGAAAAAGGGAGTATAAAATTAGTACTTAATGTGATCTTATATTTTGTTTGCAGACATTTCATCATGGTGAGTGTACTTATACATGGTTGTTAGGAACCAGTACCTGCACACACTCTTTATAGTGATGCGTTGGATATTGTCGAAAATTTTGTGTCTAAGTGGTTATGTGAGTGGCGGTGGTGGTGGCGGAGTGACTGATGAGGTCTTCGACCATATGTCGAAAGTTGGTGTGGCTTACACTAATCTGGGTCGGCTACGGCGCCGTTGTGACGCTAACTTTGCGATTAATAGTTACGCATATAACTTGTCGATGATATACACCTGTGAAAACTGACCTTTTTGAGCTGATGTTATGCGATGACTCTGTGCTTTAGATCACCTTTGTCTCTGCAAGATTGGTCGTATCCGGTAGAAACACAATGAAGTTATTTTGAAATGAGTTCATGTGTGTTAGGGTAGGATAGAGATTGTCACTTCTTTCTTGTGGTCATCTTGAAACACCATTTTTGGTGGCATGGACACGTCTGACAAATGTCGTACCAGTAGCTCCTACACTTAATGGTTGTTTGCTCCTGGAGTGGTTAGAAGAGGCGGAGAGATGACTACTGTATGACACGATACTGTGGGATGAAGGATCGTTGTGGTTGGTTGGTATTTGTTAGTAACTCATGACTCCTATCACCGGGTTTGAAAGATAATGCAACTCAGTGGCTTGAGATACAATCAGATTTTTCTCATAGATGGATACTTTAGTATACTAGACATTGTAGATGCGAATCATCTTTTTTAAGACCAAACTACAGGATTTAAATAGACCTTTTTCATTTAGGATAAAAGTGTTCATAAAACAAAACGACAAGTAAAATCCAGCTTATTGCCGCAAACCGATAATGCTTTCAACTGAACATGCCATACACTATCCTGTATATTGATTTGTTTCGGTTTAGAAGAGAATAAGTGGATTAACATGCATAAAACATAAACTTACACTAGGTATATTATCCGGTGTACATACACCTTCTTGTAATAGTCGATCACGTATTTCCCAAGCAAATATTGATGGACATTCACGTTTATAAATATCAATTTTTGTGACAACAGCACTTGTAGCTACACGTGGTTTACTACCACCTATAGCTTTTGGTCGAATTGAACCAGTTTCATAATAACGACATAATATTTTCGATACACAACCATTAGATACTTGTAGAATACGTGAAATATCACATGGACGTGCACCTGAATGAGCTAATTCAATGATACGCTGACGTGTTGTATCCGGTAGAGGTCGGCCATTGACAAACATTCCACCCAACTGATTTACACCTGAATGACCTAAAAGGAAAGATAAATGTAGGTATAATAAAAAAGATGGCTTGAATAGCTTTCATTTCAGAAAGTTGTAATCAGTGTGTTTTATAGTCAAGTGTTTTAAATATATGCTTTAACACTATGGGTAAAACTCTGTGTATAGTTCAAACTGTTTAGTTCTGTCACAGCTATCAGATTTTAGCACTTTGAAAGGCAGTTTTGAGCGATTTTAAAAGACACCCTGGCAACTGATGAAATAGCCAACCAGCTTTCAGTATTCTGACTGAGAAGGTAGTTGTTTTTAAAATGGAGAGAGATGATTGGTTATCTTGGCAGTTGCTAAGGTAGCCCTTAAAGTTCCTCTCAGCTTTACTTAACCATAGGTGAAATTAGGTGAGGTTAATCTGGTGAACATGCTTGGGATGACTTCTTACACCAAAACTTTTTTAACTCACCACCCCCATCCATCCCCCACGGCTTTGATACTGTGATCATTAACCATAAGGTTTACGAAAAATGTTGCTATTTCTTCCAATTGCTGTTTATGATTACAAACAAGTAGTAATTTCATCTAAGAATTCCAGCATAAATCATATAACAGTTTTTGCAAAGACGTTGATTAAGGGGCGAAATTGTATGATTACTTTCTATAAAATCCTCAAAAATGTATCTATAGCTTGTACAGAAGGACTTCCCCTAAGATTCAACTTTCATATCCCTAGTAAATTAACCAGAAGAAATGATGGATAAGGTATAGGCAACTAGCCGATTTATAACTGTTGAATGATAACCAGAAATAGTTTGTTCAAATCTAGTACGTCATTACAGTAAACCCATAATCGAAAATTTTTGACCAAAGAGGATTCCATAACACTAAAACATCTCAAAAGAAAAAGGTGAAAACATAATGATATTATAACCAGATAAAGGTCCAAGAGTTGTGTTCAATAATAAAGAAAACTACCTCATAAAGATAAAACTCAAATCCCAACGATCCATTTGAGATTCAAGCAAAAAAACTGCAAAAACAAATCTACTTAGAAAGTTACTAGAAAAGAAACTGACTAAAACTTCGAAGATCTTGTGTACCTTAGATTTATGGTCTACCAAAGATCTATATCAAAAGAATGTTCCTTTGAAACCTATACAATCTACGACTAACCCACTTCATCACAAGATCGCTCACTGGTTTGCAGAAAAGCCAGAACTTATACATCAACGACTGGCTGTAAATCCCCTGAAAGATTCATTCCATTTCGTTGCAGATGTAAGTCAAATTAACATCTGTAATAATTTCATGATGGAAGTTTTTTTACTCATAAAGATTCCTATTCATGAAACAGGTGATATTATCCCGAAGGCATCTCGACCTCCTTATTTGCTGTCAGTATGTACTAAAGATGTTCAGTTTCAAATCGATATTACTGTATATCGCCAAATGGATGGATAGTCCCTTGAGTTTATTGTTGATATATATCTTTATGACTAACCTTGATAAGACAAAACACAAGCAGACAACTGAAGGTAGGATGTTTTATTTCAAATAGACTAAAGATACATTCATTGTGTGCAACGACCCACGTTATGCGTACTACCCATCAGAGCTCATCAATAATGCTTATAAAAATGAAGAATTCATCACTGAGTATGAAAACAATGATAATTTCAAGTTTTGAGATAACATCTAGCTACTTTGAAGTGATGGTACTCTTCAAAGGTTCATTCACTGAAAGAATACATGCAATGGACTATATATATCAATTCCAACAGTTTTTGTCTACTCAATTTTATAAGCGCATCAGTCAATGCACCATTTTTACAAAGCTGGAAGGATGTCTTTAAGTGTCAGATCGCAAGAAAACTTGTTAAGCACTGTGTGTAAGACAACGGTTAAAATTTATCAAAAGGTTGTCGAAAAGATAAAGATCTTCCTTGTAACCTCTTTTTATTTTTAAGAGAATTACACAGACCAAGAAGTTAGTTCTTACCGAACCTAACTTTACAGGCAGAATCAAATGAAGACTGAAACCACACTGAACATAGCATGCTTTACAGAGCCAGATACTCCTTGGTACAATTAAAAGTCACTAGGTTCCCTATCTATATTATCTTTAATGGTGTGCATGAGTTTCAGTACATCTGCAGTAGCGTTGGGTGAAGAGACAGAAAGTAGTACCTTGGATTCTTTGAATACTTACTAAAAAGCCCGCATCTCACTGGAACTAATGCTTACGGTAGTGCAATCATTCGGTATCTCATTGACACATTACGCAAAATAAATACCTAGGAATCCTAATAATAATAATAATAATAATAATAATAATAATAATAATAATATAGAGGACTGACATCAGTTGGGGAACCATTAGAAATCCGGGAACACTGAGCAGCTGTTTCGTCCTAGTACGGGACTCCTCAGCAGTACGCATCCACAACCCAACTAGGGATCGAACTCAGGACCTTCGGGTTTCATAGTGAATGCGTTAACCATTCAACCACTGGGTCGGCTTTCAGTGGTTCGTAGTTTCCAACTCCTGTCAATTCACGATATAGTGTAACTACCACCCAAGGTCTTCATTTAGCGTCCGCTTCCCTTCCGACTGGTTGACCCCTCAGGTCATGGCTTCTTATTAGAACTTCATGATATCCATCTGGGAGCAAGTCACAAATGACCACTATGCAGTAATGTATCTTTCATATACTAATAGTAATAATAGTTTTATTCCAAACAAGACCTATGATACAGCATGGAATTCTCAGCATATACTGGTTCAACAAATTAATTCCCTGTACAATGTCTTTCAGTGATAAAAGCTACAGTGGGAAACAGGCACCTAGTATATTAAATTAGCATATAGTTTGGACTGGTGAGTGAAACGAATATCCAGCTGATGGCAGTTGATTCAGCCGGTACAAAAATCTGCAGTTTGATATAGTTATTCAAGAAACAGTAATATATTGTATTTCTTTACATTTATATGCCCATGTCTTACCGGCGTATCGTTTTTTATTTGCTTCGGCGTTAGCCTGGAAAACGCCAGTTTGAAAAGACTTTAAAAATGGGCAAGGTAACTTGACCCGTTTAAAAGAAATATTTATATGATTAAAACAAATTAAAAGGGATGAATTTGTTGAGATAAATTCGATGGAAAATTTTCGGTAGCCCAAAGTTTAAACAGGCCGCCTTCAAGGTAGTCAATAAACAACGTAATTAGAATTTTATCAAGTTCACTAACATAACGCGGATCAAAGGACTGAAACCCAAATTCTGTGTTAAAAAAAACCACTGATCATTTTTTCTTTGTCTAGATAACGTAATCTTTGCTTACTCTCCTTCTTAGTTGATGACATCATCGTCTAACTGGACTTTTTTCTGTTTGTACAAAAGCTGCTACGGTGATTTTACCAAATCAGTTCAACTAATTACATTATTGTGGTGTTATTTGTCTTTTCGTGAGGTTGATTGGACCGAACTGATCGGCCTTTATCGGCATATGAGCCCCTAAGCGAATGTTTTGATATTGCCTGTGTTTCAATTTTATAACACTGAGGATAAAGACCGATCAGGTCAGTCCAGTCAACGAAAGGATAATACAAGTAACAAGATGAGAGTTATACCCATCGTACCCGCCGTGATTCAGCGGCCTAGTGGAAAACCCTGTGACATTTGGAGCGAGCATTCTCGAGTTCGAGTTCTAGTAGGAACAACATCGATCACTGATCCGGCTGACGAGCCCTAAGTAGGACGAAACACACGTCTTGGATTCCACTGCTAGCCATCACTAAGCAAACTGAAAGTAGGTAACTATTAGGATTTACTAGATCTATACTTCATACAAGATGCCTTTGTCCCATTTTGCGACATGAATCGTTGATTTTATGTAGTTTCTTTAATGTATTATGCTAACTAATAAATTAAAGCTGACTAAAGATTTCAGTAGGGTATTAATTGTACAGGGAAAAATCGGTTTCTGTGGCTATTGGCCCTCATGAGACTATTCGCTACGCCGAAAGTCATTTAGTAGAACAGTAAATAAACTTTTTCAAGTTTATTTACTCGGCATAGGAAGTTGTAATGTGCTTCAGAAAATTAACATCCATCTGTTAGGTATTAAATATTGCAGTAAAATAAGTTCAAGATTATATTCATTTTGATAACTAAGAGTGGAATGCAGGATGCCCGTTTTGTCTCATTTGAGACTCATCAGCTGTACCTACCTGCGTCCCAGTGAATGATATTGTCCCCACTGAAACTTTAACCCAACACCCATTGCTTCAAACGCCATACCGTTATTCACTAGATCAGTGAGGAACGACAGCACGTCCTGTGTAACCGAAATCAGTTGCTGTTTTCTGAATTGTTCCAAAACTGAAAAGGATCTGACTGATAACTTTCAGGTGGTATGAAATCCCACTAAACCCTATTAGCTATTTCTATAACTGATACTAAGTGATGTTTGAAGATGAAATGAAAATCTGGACCACAGCAGGATTCAAACCAGCCACCTCTGTAACTATCCAATGCATTACGGTTTTCTGTAGATAAGGGCAAATGAATCACTTAAATCTCTAGACAATTTGACATTTTCTCTTGATTCGATAAGGAAGAATCCCTGAAGTAATAGTTAGGAATGACAGTTAAGTCCGGAGCCAGGTACCTTTACACTATAAAAAAATGTTTCTGTTTTCAGATACCATATTCTGCATTGTTTAGAGTAGCATTCATCGTGGACCGACATCAGCTGGAGAACCAATGGAAACCTGGGAGCACTGGATAAATGTGTCATCCCAGTATGGGACCCCTGAGCAGTATGCACCCATGATCCGGTCACGGGTCAAACTCAGGACCTTCGAATCTCAGGGCGAACGCGCTAACCATTCAGCCACTGGGTCGGTTTTCAGTGGTTCACAATTTCCAACTTCTTCCGATTCGCGATATATCGTGACTATTGCTCAAGGTCTTCATATGGTATCCCCTTCCTCTCCGAATGGTTGACTTCATAGGTCACAGCTTCTCATTAGAGCTCCGTGATATCCATCTAGAAGTAAGTCACTAATGAGCAGTATACAGTAATGTATTTTTCAGATGAATGGGGATTTCAATTTCGAGATAGTATTCATCACGGACTGATATCAGTACTGCTGAGGAGTCCCCTACTAGGACAAAACAGCTGTCCAGTACTCCTAAGTTTTCAGTGGTTCTCCAACTAATGTCAGTCCGTGATAAATACTATCTCATATATATATATATATATATATATACTCGTTATTTCATAGCGTTAAAAGCCTTTTTTGCCACTAAAAAATACCCTGTCTTAGTGATTCATACTAGTCATTGCTGATAGAATTACTTGTCAGGAGTATGTAAGTAATCTGTTCGTACTTACTGTTTATATATATATATATATATATATATATATATATATATATATATATATATATATATATATATATAGGCGTAAGTGATT